AATAATAGATCCAAATAGATCTATCATCTAGAAAGAGAGAGAGGTTTCGAAAACAAAAAAAATGGTTGGTTTTTCAAAAAAAAAAAGAGATAAAAATTGTGTGGAAGAAAGTTTATGGGCAAAAATATCAATTAACATCCACTAGAAGACAAAATGTGGCAAATGAGCAAAAAAAATCAAAAATAGCATATTTTGAAAGTAATTTAAAAAAGAAAATTACGAAAATAGTCTTGATAAATGGTTTTTTGATGATTTTGGTGTTTCTGTTTCATAACTACTCAAACACTCTTCAAAAAAATTTAAATTCGGTTTTGTCCTTATTTCCTTTGATAAAAAAATGTATTTACGAAACTGCCATTAATTAGTTTCTCGTCAAAACCAAATAAGTGTACCGCTCACGTGATGGTAGATTTATTTAGTGGTTGGTAGATTTATTTTTGAATGGTAGACTTATTGTTGAGTGGTAGATTTATTTCGGTAGACTTATTTTTATACAGTGGTAGATTTATTTCTATGTGATGGTAGATTAATTACGCGTGGTAGATTTAATTGTCTCCATGGTAGATTTAATTCGGATATAAATAAGTCTACCATCACGACGATCATTGTGATGGTAGACTTATTTATAGTGGCGGTAGATTTATATGATGTGGTAGAGTTATTACTCTCTTTGGTAGATTTATATTTGTTGATCGGTAGACTTATTGATTGTTAGCGATGGTAGACTTATTTATAGTGGCGGTAGATTAATATTATGTGGTCAACTTGTTACTTTCCTTGGTAAATTTGTTCAATATTTGCAGGTCTTTATTACAACAAATCTACCAATCTTTGGTAAATCTACCATAATGATGGTAGACTTGTTTGGCTATATTGAGTTACGATAGACTTGTTTCTTAATATTGAATGACNATAGANTTGTTTANATTCGGATAAGCNTACTGGTAGATTTNAAAAATAAGNGGCATGGTAGACTTGTTGTGGTAGGTGGTAGACTTACTTGTAGTAGTGGTAGATTTACAATATGTGGTANACTTATTTGTAGTAGTGNTANATTTATAATNTGTGGTAGACTTATTTTATAGTAGTGGTAGACTTATTCAAAAAGGGTAAAATCGTAATTTACCGTTCATCTTCTCCACCAACCCAAAAGCTGTCAAACGACAACAATGGNGGCCAACAACTTTTTAGCTCGTTTCTACTGTATTGTAACTTGTTTTCAACTGGTTTTAACCTAAAACTAGTAGATCTAACATCATATATCCTTTTTCACCTTATGATTTTTAATCCGATTTTATCTCAATTCCGATGCTTTCTCAGCCTCCACACCTCCGCCGCGCGCCTCCGGTGCTTCGGCAGCCTCCGCGACCGCTTCAAACAAATTCATCATATTTTTTTTTTAAGTCAAAATGACATTTTTGTAATAACAAAACATAACATTGGTTTATATGTCTCTTAAACCCTTTCTTAGTATTTTGATATTTTGTCAAGACTATTCTAATAATTAGTCCATTTGTCAAGTCTATTCTAGTAATTAATCCTTTAAAAAAGGGTATTTTTGTAATATTCACAAAGAAATACAGGAAAAAAAAACAAACAAAAAAGAGAGTATTGGTCCGTTTTAAGAGCTTATTCCTTTTGAGGCGGCGTTTGAGGTGACTGATCACGTGATTGTGAGGCTCGGCCCTTGTTACTACAGTTGACAGAATCTCTGTCTCACCATAATCCATCAAAAACGTTTTAGACGTATGTTGTGGGACGAAATTGTGAACAGTATTCACGAGGGCTGAATTTCACAACCATGTGATTATTCACTTTGAAGAACGCAAGGCTTCAACGTTTCTCGATAATTTCTATAATATCTGGTTTTATGAATGTTATCTTGTTTCTTTTTTGTTTAATTCAGTGGATTCATTTTAGTTCCATTGCAGGAGAACATTGAATGATATAAGAGGAATATGTAAAATACTGTTCGATTAGCAGTTTCTGTGAATTTGTGTTTATTTAGTAATGTACCACTTTTATAAGATTTGTTTTCTAACGAATTTCTCCCACATTATATTTTATATATGTATCAATCCACAACTTAAATGTTGATTATACTTTCTTTTTTTTTTTGGTGGATTCATGTAATCGTAATACATATGTACAGAATTATAAATTATTCATCTCCTTTTTCTTTCAATGTTGGTCGAACGTCTGAGGTGAAAAGATGAGAGTATTTGTACGTTTTGAGAGTTGATTCCTCTTGAGACTGCCTATTGGTACGTTTAAGGTGAACGATCACGTGGTTGTGAGGTTCAGCTCTTGTGACTACGGTTGACACAATCTCATCCCACCATAAGCGTCCAAATGGCTCTTTTGATCTGCTTCCATACGAAGCATCTTAGATTATGTTATATCGTCTTTTCGATAGAATATCATTAGAGCTATTTAGAATATCATTATAAATCTGTATACTAAGATGTAAATAGCTCTAATGATATTCTATCGAAAAGACATCTAAATTTAGATGTCTATGGTGAGTTTTTCGAAAGTGTATTTAAATCTGTATACTTTTAATCCTTTTTAATTGTGGCTTTCAATTTTTTTACACCGAATTGTCACCTTTTTCATTTAAAAAAACTAGGTGATTCTTCCGCGTACACACGGATAAATTATTTATGTATATTTTTTTTAATTTTAATCTCTAAAAATATGAAATATGTAGTTGTTTGATTTTTATTATAGACATTGTTGTTGATTCTTTTGTTGTTAATTTTTTGGTCAATAATATCATTTTGATTAATAATACGAAATTCAAAAATTTAGTTTTACCATTTAATTATTTTATATATGTAATGTGTCAAGTCAAAATGTATAATAGTTTAATACATTATTATTATAAACACATGCTTTTGCTTCATAACTCTCCTAACCTGAAAGTTCTTAG